CCCGCCACCTTAGGTGTACGTGGCTGGCGCCTTAGCCGGTTGAGCTATAGGCGCCGAGCCTTGTCCATTTATTTTTAAGAACAATTCCTAGTTCATTATCTTTATATTTAGCAAAATAGCTTTTCACTTTAAACATTTTCCTAAAATATGACTATTACACAGATTGTGAGGGGATACCCAAGTTAACAAAAGTCTTGTTGGACACGTGCCTAAAAATTTGAGTTACGTACAATATTTTAAACATTGTGTGTGAGAAAGACTAAGCTGAAAGCATTAATAACTTAGGAAACATAATGGCTAAAAAGAAGGCCTTGTTGAACTGGACACCGTTCATAAACATCAAATTTTGCCCCCACTGAATCATATCACTACCTTTTTGTTTATATTTTTAGTTTGCATTATGGACACAATAAAATGGATTTATTTACCTGGAAGACTAATGACCCTTAAAAAAAGTACCTACCATGAGCTGAAAGAGTTCTGTTAACCTGTGGATGACGTCACATCCTCTACCTTGGGAACACTACGCTGGCATTTGACACATAGAGTTAAACATGGCTGAGTTTAACTGCTGACCCCACACCCAGCTCAAAAATATTAACTATCATAAATGTAATGCTTTAGGCCATCTTCCTAGCCTCAAAAGGAGAGGAGGATCAAAGCAACGTTCTGACTCAGCAGGTGATGGGTAAGAATGCCTTTCTCCAATGTTTAATTTAGTTCTGAATATTCCAACCCAAATGCTCACCTTTTAAAATCATTCTTTAAAGTAACTGAGAAATAAAATCTTTATTAAGTTATTAATGAGGAAGATACACATGCTTAAACTAAGTGTGAGAAAATGTTAATGTCTAGAATGAACACTAAACTCACAGCACCTGCTATACTGTGCACGGCAGTAGATACACACACAGAGAACCCTAAAGTTTTCAGAATGTTGCTGCAGCTAACATTTATTAAATGCTTATGTGCCAGACTCTCTGTGAAGTCTTTTAGATGTATTGTTAGTTGAACTTCACAATTGCCCGGAGGTTGATTGATCATTATCTCCATTTTACATGTGGGGAAATAGTCTTCTAAAAGGGAGAGATCTTGACAAGGCAAGGGGTCTCACACCTATAATCCTAGCACTCTGGGAGGCCAAGGCAGATGGATTGCCTGAGCTCAGAAGTTCGAGACCAGCCTGGTCACAATAGCAAGAGCAAGACCCGGTGTATCTAAAAATAGCCGGGTATCTGTAGTCCCAGCTACTCAGGAGGCTGAGACAAGAGAATCTCTTGAGCCTAAGAGTTTCAGGTTGCTGTGAGCTATGACACCACAGCATTCTACTAAGGGTGACAAAGTGAGACTCTGCCTCAAAAAAAAAAAAAAAAAAAGAGAGAAATCTTAAAGGTAACATCATTTGCCCAAGATGGACTAATGGGTTGAATCAGGACTCTAAAACACAGTACTGAGGGGCCGCAGAACCTATGCTTTTTAATGATCTAACATTCTGCCTATTCAAATTGAGAATCCACTAGAAAACACAGGTCATGCTGATGGTGGACGGGCAGCATTACCTCCCACGGTACATGTACCATGCATATAGACAGCTCAGTAAAAGCAGGTACATGGCCTACCATATAAAACAGCCACAGAGAATGTGTGGTTTGGCCCATGGAAATACACCAAATCCTTTAATGAATAACATGTATAACGTCAGACAAAAGTAACCCTAGAAGGAACTGTTACATACAGAGTTGTTCTCATTTTAAAATAATAGCATGAACTCATGAAAAAACAACCAATTAAGAGTTATTAGGGATGAACGCTAAAAGTTAGGTATTTTAACCTGTCAACTAAATGTTTAATCAAATAGGAACACTCAAGGTGCATGTAACTTTTTTATTGAGGCACAACAAGGCATTGTAACTTGCCTGAACTTGAGGCAGTCAGTTTAGTAAGCTGAACGTTAATACAGTTAAGGATTAAGTGCAAACAATATACATTCACAGCTTGACTAGCAAGGCTACATCACAATTTATAAAGTGCCAGATTAGTGCTAATTGTCATTCAGCTTGAAATTTTTCACCTTGGGGAGGAAAACAAAAAAGTAAGGACCTCCTCTTTCCTCTAGGAATGAAAATACTTTCCTAAACCAATCAGTCACCAGGGCAAGGACTACTTTTCCTTTAATCCCACTAATGAGAACATCATCCTTCGAGTGTCAATTCTGTACTGACTTTCAATCTTGATAAAGAAGATAGCCTGAAAATGTAGAATACTTCCAACTACTTCCATAAATTGCTCCTCTGTGCAAACGTAACCATATCTGGTCTCCCTGGAAGAGCTGAAGAATTGCGTGATTGCTAGCGGTCTCGTGGTCTGGAGCACCGTCATTGGCGTAGGCTGACACCAAGACTTCTTCATTCTTCATGAGGTTGACATACAGTGGCACATTCACAGCCAGCTTTAGCATGTGAAAAATGAAAACGTAAGTGCCGTTCACTGGGCAATTGAATCTACCAAGCTGAAGATCAAAAGTTTCTCCTAAGTTGTTCAGAAGAAGATCAAACACGATAGGTTGGTCTAAAGTTCCAGGGGCCAGATTGGAGGTTCTGGCTGCTGAGAAGGCAACTCGCATCTGCTGAGGCAGGGGGTAGACGTGGACTGGCAGGACGGTGGCTGCTGGATTGGTCACTGGCACATCCACAGGGGTCATGCTACGGGAGTCTCCTTGTCCAGAGTCACCACTGTTAAAGGTTTCGTTGTCTCTTTCTGGGCTGCTCACCTGAGAAGAATCACTCCACCCTGCTGTTTTATTAGCAACAGTGAGTTTCTCATAATGAAGTAGTTAGCTTTGAACACAATATTTAACATTAGTCGGCTACTGAAACACAGATAAAGACACATTTTATAGTAAATTCCAAAACAAAAGCAATACCGTAAAGCTGGATTATACTTTTCTAGATTTTTCTGGCCATCGGCTTTTATAATACTATTTGAAAGCCAGAAGGGTCCAAGAGAATCTTATCTAGTTGCCTGTTTTTTAAGATTAAGAAAATATGCCCCCGCCCAAAAAAAAGGCTGGAAACTTAACTAAAACTAGTGAAAGTTAGCAAAGTCCAAAACTCACATCTGAACACTTTCAAATTCTTTATCTTTTCCCCATAATTCTCAGTTAATTTCTCAGCGATCAATCTTCTACAAAGTAGCTAATGTAGAAGGACTCAAGAAAACTGAGATTACATAAAAGAATCAACTCGTAGAAGTACTAGCCACTAGCCATTCAGAGATATACTGATAGGGCACTAAGTTCCATGATGAATGCTTGTTTATCTCCAGGCTAATGTAACATCATAAAATGTTACTGTTTTAAGTGCTGTATAAAAATACAGCTCAGCTATAAGGGAAAGGCAAATGTGAACACTGGCTACTTTCTCAAAAGGAATAAGTTCATCTTCTGTAATTTTTTATTTTCTCAGTAACAACCTACCTTTCAATAGGCCCACCACATTTTAAAAAGTGTCATAAGTATCTTGTTTTTGTTTCAAGTCATAATGACCTAACTGTTGCTTACTTGACTCTATCAATGTAGGGACACTGGAGTCGTCTGAAGTACCCGTTATTATAAAAACCATCATCCTGAAACATCGCACGAACTATCTGAAGTCAGCACAGTGAATGTGTAAGGCTAAATTATGCTCTAAGGTCAGGCAGATTTGTTTTTAAACATACACTTTTAATCAAAGTGACAACTCGTTTCCGTGGCCTAATTTCTCCCTCAGTACTTGAGGATGACAGTCGAGCAAACTGAAAACCTCAGTAAAATAAATGCTGAAAGCAACGTGCCCTGGGGAGATCTTAACAGAGGATGCAGAAAGCATTCAGTATGTTCTGGGTAAATGAACTACTCAGCTAATTACCCTTACCTCTTGAGTTTGCTCGTGGACCACCAGATGTCCCTCCTCGCTTATAACACGGCTGGAAATTGTCCTAAAATAAACACATAATATTTACCTTGGCACCAAAAAGACAGTACTATAATTAGTTATTATACAGGATTACTGGCTGAGGAAGGCGTAAGATTAAAGTCTTTTTAGTTCTTTATCTGGCCTTCCCCAGCAACCAGAGGCTCAGATGGTTCCAAACACCAAGAAAAACAAAGTAAGGGCAACAGTGGCAAAAGCTGCTTCAGCTGTTAATTAATCTCATCAATTAGATATGTTAATACATACAAAAACAAAAAAGCATTTAGAGAACTGCCAGGTACAATGCTGGGTAATAAGGGAAACTTTTTTTTTTTTTTTGAGACATAGTCTCACTACACAGTGCCGTGGCGTCATAGCTCACAGCAACCTCAAGCCCTTGGGCTCAAGCCATCCTCTTGTCAGGCGCCTACCACACCACTGGCTAGTTTTCCTATTTTAGTAGAGACTAAAATACACCCTAAAATTTTAGGGTCTCGCTCTTGCTCAGGTTAGTCTTGAACTCCTATGTTCAGGAAATCCACCCGCCTTAGCTTCCCACAGTGCTGGGATTACAGGAGTAAGCCATCACATCCAGCGAGGGAAATTTTAAAAGGTGGCATGGTCTTCTGTCCCTCCTCTCAATATAAAGGACATAGTAAAGAACACAATTTTTTTTTTTTGAGACAGAGCCTCAAGCTGTCACCCTGGGTAGAGCGCCCTGGCATCACAGCTACCTCCAACTCCTGGGCTTAAACAATTCTCTTGCCTCAGCCTCCCAAGTAGTTGGGACTACTACAGGCGCCCACCACAACGCCCCTGACCATTTTTTGGTTATAGTTGTCATTGTTGTTTGGCAGGCCCGGGCTGGATTTGAACCTGCCAGCTCTGGTGTATGTGGCTGGCGCCTTAGCTGCTTGAGCTACAGGCGCTGAACCAGAACACAAATTTTTTTTAATCTTGCTCTATTTATAAAGCAAACTGGGAAGCCTAATCCAAACACCGCTGGGTTTTGTTTTTTTTTAAAGACAGGAGAATTGATGACCTTGATACCATATACATGTATTTACTGCCTAGAAATGGGGTCCAACATATTATGAAAAATGTTCAAGCGGCAGCTCCTCGAAGTCACTCCGGCATATGAAGGGTGTTGGCCTCCATACAACCCAATAGTCAGTGGTATGATTAAATTACCGTATGAAATAAAAACAAACAGGAAAAGGTGTGCAATAAAAAAATAACTAATTCTCCTACTCTAGACTCCTGGTCCCCTTTGGACTATCATCAATTCCTTGTTTCCTTAGTAAGAAATTCAAAGCAGCACACGAAAATACTGGAATATCCGAATTCAAAACACATCATTCTCTCCCTTATGTCTAATTAATCCACATCCTTCTCTCACACACACTCCCTGAGGATCACGGCCCATATGTGCCTGGCTGACACACCTGTCCCAGTATTGCTATGCTGAGCACTTAGTTCATTCAGTCCCTGGATTATCTCATGAAGAAATCCTCACTATCCCTCCGAGTTGGAATAATAACTAATAGAGGATGACCTAGAGCTTGGGAAGTTTAAGTAACATACCCAAGGTCATACAGCAAGAGTGTGATAAAATCAAGGTCAGAACCAACGTATTTAGATTCTACGGTGTCTTTTTCACCCTTTTTCAATACTGCCTCTGTGAAGACATCTATCCTACCTCACATAACTATAAAGTCTTCAAGTATAGTTAGTATATGTTCCAGGAGAACTCACTACGGTACCATATACATATGTAAAGGCCTATAGAACTTCAAGGTTAAAAATACTGATGGAGTACAAATTCTTATCTGTATATGACCAATGACAGGACATCATTCCAAGGTTTGTTAAAGCTGAATGTCTAGCACCTTATCAGCTCTTTTACGCAGGAATACAGGTGAGGTTCATAAAAGATGGTGGAAAGGCAATGAGGTAATCAGCCTTTTATAATAGGTAGTAAAGAAAATCTGTTGAGCTATTCAAATCATAATAAACAAAAAGTAAATTTACAAGACAGGGCTTTGCTATACTTGATATTCAAGCGACCTAAATTGAAGGCAACAAGGTAAAGTTAAAATCAGGGCTCTGAAGTTAAGAAAGTGACATTCTATGTGAACATTTTAAAACAATAACTGAGAAAATGACATGAAGGCTGTGTTGACCAGTTTTTGATGGAAGTATTTCAGAGTGCATGTGAAAACCCCACACTGTACCCCAGAAGTACATTAATGTACATAGTTACCATTCAATTAAAGAAAAAATAAAATAAATTAAAAAAAAATAAAGTGACATTCTAATCCCAGCTCTCATATTTACCTGCTGAGTGACCTTACACAGGTTATTTAATCTCTTATAAGGTGGAAGAACAAATGAGTTAATGTAAACAACATGTTTAGTAACGTTCTTAACACCTTCTAACTTTCCCGTAACTGGGAGTTGTCATTCATCCTCCTTGGGTAAATGGAAAACCTTCCAACTCAACTCTGCATAGGAGTTACCAGTAGTTCTAAAGCTAAGCGTGCACATCTGCAAAACAAATTATGACTCTGCTATAGTTAAACACTAGCTTATTAACAACTCTACCACTATTCCACTAGGACAGTAAGTATTCCCTACTTACCCTTTGGGAATAAGGCGCTCCAGGATACTCTCTAGCTTGGAACTGCAGCTGGCTATAATTTCCACTGGAAATTGAAGGAAGTCCTCTATAAGTATCAAAACCTAATAAACAAACAACTTACATAAAATTATGGGCAAAAAAATCATACTACACTTCTAAATGGTCTAATTCTATACCACATTATAGTCAAATTGACTCAATAATGCCATCATTAGATTTATACCTTCTTTAAGCAAATTCTAAGATTGCTTCCACAGTAAAACATACATTTATGAAATATTACTGACTTTGAATAAGCCTGGTTAAGAAATTTACTACTGCTAGAATACAGGTGAGGTGGATAAAGGGTGGGGGTAGGGCAATGAGGTAATTAAGGGCTCAGTCTACAGCAGGGGTGTCCAACCCATAGCCTCCCGGCCGCCTGTGAATTATGTGAGGACGTTTTTGCTTATCTGTGGTGCCACATATCATGAAAATTATACACAAACTTTTTTTTACTCATCAGCTTTCATTAGTATTTGTGTATTTAACGTGTGGCCCAAGACAATGCTTTTTCTTCCAATGTGGTGCAGAAAAGCCCAAAGGTTGAACAGCTATGGCATGCTACAGTATTTTTGCTGATACCAAGCAGCACTAGAATACTTGCAACCATAACTAAAACTTAAGAGAATATCATCACTATGATAGCCTCCAAATCTGTGTTCTTCTCTGTGGTACACAGTCTGATAGACAACTACAAGATGGGCTCTGTCTAATTATGACATACTTTTAGCAGAGTTAAGTCAATTAACAAAAGACAGACATTATTCAAATACAGTAACCAAAATTCATCTTTTGAAAAACAAGATGGTCAAACCTTTCTACTTAGTAAGTCACCAGAACACTCTGCTTTTCATTTAGAAAGTTAATTCCTCTGTTATAGAGAATAGGTATCTTAAATATATTATCCACAAATAGGAAATTCTCAACTACGTTATAAATGGCAATGACAAAAGGAAAACAAGGTAATGTAAAAATGGCTTGAGTCAAATAAGTATACAGACAAAAATAATTCAGTACAATTAAGTTTTATTCAAAGCGTACCTTTATAACCACCAGGGGACCGATAGGAATTGGTCAGTAATCTCCCACCACGAGTACATCCTCTAACAGATCCCCGACTATTGACAAATGGCTGTGTAGGTCTGGGAAATACATTCGTCTGTGCTGGGTAAAAGGCAAGGCTACCATTGCTTACTTGAATAGTTCCATCAGGATGAAAATTGGCTGTGTAAGGAAATAGTTTTAGAATCCAAGAGTTAAATGGTAATAAAGGTTTAGTATTCCTTATACTTAGAAGTCAATATATTAAACAAAAAAATCTTTTTAAAATAATCATGATATATACTTCCATATATATTTCATGTATATACTAATATAACTCTTATATATATAATTCATATCTATGTGTGTATGCATATATATATATGTAAATAGAATAGTATTCAGCCTGAAAAAGGAAATTTTGACAGATGCCACAACATGGATTAACCTGGAAGACATTATGCCAAGTAAAATAAGCCAGTAACAAAGGGACTTTGTATGATACCACTTATATTAGGGACCCAGAGTAGTTAAATTCACAGTCAGAAAGTAGAATGATGGCTGCCAGAGGCTGGAGGGAAAAAAGGGGAAATTTGTGTTAAATGATTATGGAGTTTCACTGGGGGAGATAAAAAAGTTCTGGAGGTGGATGGTGGTGGTAACACAATCTACAGGCACAATAATCTGGATGTTACTTGACCCAACAATCCCACATGTATCACTGGTCAAGAGACTTAAACAGAACCTTCTCTAAAGAAGACAGACAAACAGCCAACAAGCATGAAAAAAAAAGCTCATCATCCCTAATCATCAGAGAAATGCAAATCAAACCTACCTGATATACCACCTAACCCCAGTGAGAATGGCCCACATCACAAAGTCTCAAAGATGCAGATGCTGACGTGTATGTAGGGAGAAGGGAACACTTTACACTGCTGATGGGAAGTATGGAAAATCCTCAAAGAACTCAAATTAGACCTCCCATTTGATCCTGCAATCCCACTACTAGGTATCTACCCAAAAGAAAAAAAATCATTTTATCATAAGGACATTTACACTAGACTGTTTATCGCAGCTCAATCTACAATCACCAAAATGTGGAAACAACCTAAATGCTCACCAACCCAGGAATGGATTAACAATCTGTAGTATATGTACACCATGGAATACTATTCAGCCATTAAAAGAGATGGAGACTTTACATCTTTTGTATTAAACTGGATTGAGGTGGAAACATTCTTCTTAGTAAAGCATCACAAGAATGGAGAAGCAAGAATCCAATGTACTCAATTCTAATATGAAGGCAGTAGGTGTTCTAATACAGCAGTTCTCAACCTGTGGGTCGTGACCCACAGGAACTGTATTAAAGGTCCATGGCATTAGGAAGGTTGAGAACCACTGTTCTAATACAAAGTGGGGGGTAGGGGAATGAGGGAGAGGGAAAGGGGGGTGGGGTGGGGAGTCACGGTACATGGCACATCTCTTAGGGGCAGGACACAATTTTAAGAGGGACTTTAACAAATGCAATTAGTGTAACCTAATTCTTTGTGCCCCCAATGAATCCCAAACAAAAAAAAGAGAGAGAGAGGAAAAAAAAAATCTGGATGAGACAGTGCCTGTGACTCAAAGGCAGTAGGGCACCGGCCCCATATGCCAGAGATGCCGGGTTCAAACCCAGCCCTAGCCAAAAACTGCAAAAACTGCAAAAAAAAAAAAAAAAAAAAAAAATACTGGATGTTACTTAATGCCATAAAACTATACACTTAAAATAGTTAAAAGGTAATTTTCATACTATGTATAGTTTACCACGATTTTTAAGAATAGGCTCAATATTCCAGATAAGGGAGTAAAATAAAATGAATTCACCATAATTGAAAAGGCATATGATGAAAGTATCCTTTATGGCAATTATCTGCCTGATCTTTCAACAGTATAGGTGACAACACAATCAGGTCATCTGTGACTAGGTCCAGAGATTTATAGTTACCTTTTCATCATTTGATTAACCAAATACCCAGAATCATCAATTCATTTGCTCAGGCTTAAGTTTTAGAAAACTCAAAAGGGGATGTGAAATACTGACACTAGAAATACACATACGAGTGCTTCTTTGATGCCCCAGGTAGAGTGCTATGGCATCACAGCACACAGTAACCTCAAATTCTCAGGCTTGAGCAATTCTCTTGCCTTAGCCTCCCAAGTAGCTGGGACTACAGGCACCAACCACAGGGCCCAGCTAGTTTTTCTATTTTAGTAGAGAAAGGGTCTTGCTCTTGCTCAGGCTGGTTTTGAACTGCTGAGATCACAATCCACCTGCCTCGGCCTCCCAGAGTACTAGGATTACAAGCATGAGCCACCACTCCCGGCTGCATACAAGTGCTTCTTAAATGAAGGATAACAAAGGTGCCTATTCATTCATGACTTAGAACACCATGTAAGATCAAAACAGCCTCCCATCTCTAAGCGAACAGTACAATAAGCATACTAAGTTATATCTTCACATTAATCAACATTTTATTACAAGAGGGAAGGGAAAAGGATGGGTAACTATTTGTGCTAAAAGGATTAACAAAATGCTTCACAGAAGCAGCAAGATAGCGCCTATATTCCTCAATTACTGCCCATGGAAATCAAAGCCATTAGATTTAAAAATACAAGCGTACTTCAAGGTTAAATCAGCCATCTAAGTTCCACCTTCATAAAAATTAAAATTAAAAAGTAAACAGCTGAAGAGAGGAAAAAGTATTAGTGTTTCTCAACACTTGAGGACTGTGTTGGAGAAATGATGCTTCTTAATCAGGAAAGAACTTCTGAAATGTCACCACAGACCTACTTTCCACTAAGTTAGCTGTCATCTAAGTCTTCAAAATATCGTATGCAAAGATCTTACCCGTCTCTTGGGAAAGGACAGTTTGTTCTACATGAATAGCTGGCAGTTGGCACTGGGGTGGTGTTTGTGTACTTGCTGTAGTAAAACTTTGATTGTAGCCAGGTGAATATGGGGATTCTTTTATTTCTTGTTCTTTCCGTGGAGGCAGAGGTGCGTTAACATTAAATACCTTAAAAGACAGGGTACACTAAGTAATTTGTGAAGTTTCACAGGCAATGCTTAAGGGTGGGACCCAGGAAAACTAAACGACATTCAAGACCTTTTATTTGGTGGGCAAAGGACCTGAATAGACATTTCTCCAAAAAAAGATAAATGGCCAGGGAGCACATAAAAACATGCTTAAGAACATTAGTCACAAGGGAACTGTAAATCAAAACCACAGTGAGATACCGTTTCATACCATTAGGACGGCTATTATCAAAAGCACAGAAAATAGGGCGGCGCCTGTGGCTCAAAGGAGTAGGGCACCAGGTTCATATACCAGAGGTGGCAGGTTCAAACCCAGCCCCAGGCAAAAACTACAAAAGAAAAAAAAGCACAACAAAATAAGTGGTGGCAAGGATGTGGAGAAATTGGAACCCTCTGCGTTGCTGGTGGGAATGTAAAATGGTGCGGCCAAGGTAGAAAACGTGGTGGTTCCTCAAAAAGTTACAGCATTACCATATAATCCACCACTTCCACTTCTGGGTGTGTACTCAAAGGAACTGAAAGCAAGGACTCAAGCAGACATTTGTATACCCATGTTTATAGCAGCATTATCCACGATAGACAGAAGGTGGAAATTACCCAAGTAAGCCCTCAACAGAGAAATGGATAAATGAGGTACATGTGTAAAGTGGAGTTATTATTCAGCCATTAAAAAATCAAATTCCGATACATGCTATAACATGAGTGAACCCTGAAAACATTATGCAAAGCACAATAAGCCAGATACAAAAGAACAAATACGGCATGACTCTGCTTATATGAGGTTCCTAGAACAGGGAAATTCATAAAGACATAAAGCAGACCAGAGGTTACCCGGGGCTGGGGGGTGGCAGGGGAGAAACAGGCAATTACTCTTTAATGGGTAAAGAATTTCTGCTTGGGATAATGAAAAGGTTCTAGAAATAGTGGTGATGGTTGCACATCACGAAAATACTTAATGCCACTGAATTATATACCTAAACCATGGCTAAAATGGCAAATTTTGTGTTATGTATATTTTACTACAATTAAAAAAAAAACAACACTTGTATTTGATCCCTGATAGAATGTACAAAAGTTAGTCTTCCTGGTATTCTGCTATCATCATATTGAGAATAAAAGCTGTATAAAGGAAGAGGGTCCTTTTTCAAAAACTAAAGATGAATAAAATAATGTACCACTTACTGAATTTTCACCATGTGGCAGACAATGAATGATCTGCCCTGACCCCGGCCACAGTTTATAAAAGAGCACCAGCTCCCTCATCCTGCTGTTTTCCTCCCAACACTTGGCACTGATAGATGCACAGGTGTCTCTCCAGCCCTCCCACTTCGATAATAAAATGGAAGTTTCTTAAGTATACTTTTTACTCCCATGGCTACAACTCCACTGATTGGCTTCATAAGCACCTCTTTAATAAATGAAGGAATGAGAACCAATCTGAACTGGACAAGATTCAAACACAGAGAGAGAGAAGGCAGACTGGTGTGAGCAAAAAGGTACTGGGACGAGAATGTACACAGGCAAGCTTGGGGGACCAGTCTGGCAGGTTATACCAGACTTCGAAAGGCACTGAGTGCCAAGCAAAAGACTCAATTTCATTCTGCAACAGATCATCGTTTGCTCTGAATGAGGCAAAGAAAAAGTAAAACTGTCGTGGCAACATTGTGCAGAATGGACTGATAGGAAAGAGTGAAAGCATGGAAACTGAGATAGACTGTCTAGGACTGAGATATTCTACGAGATAGGTTAGTGAATTCAGGTATCTGAATTCAGCGGCCTGTGTGCACTGATGGGCCTGCTGTCTGCACCACTGCACCAGCCCCACCACGGTCACTCTAAAGTACCTGGAGTGGGGCATTAAGCACCATCAGGAAAGGTATTTGTTGGCTCACTAAGGTATTTCTACTCCTAAACAACTATTTTATACTAGTCTGTGTTTAGAAAATAAAACATACAAACCTAGCTATAGTATTTTTTAAAAACTTTAGACTACAATGTGTAGGAAAATACGTAATTCAAAACAACACACAATGGCCACGCGTGGTGGCTCACGCCAGAATCCCTACACTTTGGGAGGCCAAGTTGGGAGGACTCTTGAAGATAGGAGTTTTGAAATCAGCCTGGGTAACACAGTCAGCTCCCACTTTACAAATTTAAAAAAAAAAAAAAAAAGTGAAAGAAAAGAAATTAGCCAGCTGTGGTATGTGCCTGTGGTCCTAGTTACTTGGGAGGCTGAGGCAGGATCACATGAGCCCAGGAGTTTGAGGTTACAGCAGGCTATGATCGGGCCACTGCATTCTAGCTCAGGAATAGAGCAAGATCCTGCCTCAAAAAAACGAACAAACAAAACACTACACAAATCAAAAAACAACATGAGACCAGGATGAAACCAAATGTAAATTTCAACAATGACAGAACACCCAACTGTGTATCTTCTATTTCAGGATACTGATGTTACAGAACATCACTAGTATTGATATTAGTAGCGGTTAGTATTAAGCCATTGCTAAAAAATTATGTTTCAGTATATATTTCACTTGTTTAACAGGGGGCCTCAGCTTTACCTCCTGCTAATTTTCAAAGAAGGAATAATGCTCTGATAAAATACCTATTTCAAAATCTTGGAGGTTGTAAATTTAATACTCTTCTGCCACAAACGATCTTTTCATTGACCAAATATAAATTCTACCAGCCCAAATAAAAGTCTTTACAAAACACAAACTTTGTGCAGAGTACCCAATATTGTGTGTAAGAGAAGCAATGGCTTTTAACAGGAATAATGAACTACAATCACCATTCATGTTTCATACTCACTGTCTGCATGGCTTGAAAGGGCGCTGTGTTAATGGTTACTGAGCTACTACTTCCTGGAGGTGACTGGAAGCCCTGGTCAGAGCCCTTTGACATGGGAGGATTTGGAGAAGCTAGTGAAGACGGCTGCTTGCTTGGGGGAATTGCTGCCTGGGGAGGAGAAACGCAGCATCAGCCAACCGGCTGCCATGTAACAAGCAGTTAACTTACACTAAACCCCAAACTGGTGTAAGTCAGCAAGTTCTTTAGGATGACATTTGGACACAGGAATGCAAAAGAATAGCTTTTGCTTACAATTTCAAATCTCAGTTGCTGAGGATGCACACTAGTATTTGCTTTGCACAGCTTGCTGACTAAGTGAACGAGTCTTACCGATAACCAGTCTAACAGATGAGGGGCCGAACTTTTTTTGAGCACTTAGTCTCAAAAACCCTGAAATGGTATTGTCTAATTAAGAACCTAGTATTATTCCAAATTTATACAATAGAATTGGGCATAAGAAAACCCTTAGGTTAGTTGCTTAGTAAGTGTTAATTTTTCTTTATTTTAAAGACTTTTTGGTGGATTTCTGGCTGGGCACAGTGGCTCACACCTGGAATACTAGCACTCTGAGAGGCCCGGGCAGGAGGACTGCTTGAGCTCAGCAGTTCAAGGCTGGCCTGAGCAAGAACAAAATCACATCTCTACTTTAAAAAACAAAAAAGAAAGAAAGAAAAATTAGCCAGGCGTTGTGGTGGGCGGCTGTATTCCCAGCTACTCAGGAGGCTGAGGCAGGAGGATCACTTGAATCCACACATTTGAAGTTTCTGTGAGCGAGCACCACGGCACTCTAGGCTGGGGCAACAGAGTGAGACTATGTCTCAAAAATAAATAAATACTTATTAGTGGATTTCTAAGTCAGTTGCCTAAAAAAGGAAAACAACCCTGATATAATTTAAGTCATCCTTATCTAAAGGAGCAAGAAATTTCTAGATATAAGAGATTGTGGCTCGGCACCTGTGACTCAAGCGGCTAAGGCGCCAGCCACGTACACCCAAGGTGGCGGGTTCGAATCCCCAGCCCGGCCCGCCAAACAACAATGATGGCTGCAACCAAAAAATGGCCAGGTGTT